AGTTGTTCCAAGAGTTTGTAGTAGATGCTTGGACCTCAACTGAATAAAATCGGTTGACGTACTACAAGCTTAACCAAGGAAAACTTCGTGCTGAACTTTACCAAGGTCTGACAGATGTTAATGCTGATGAGTTGGGACCTGAACAAATTGGCCAATGCATGATTTTGCCATCTTCATTTACTGGTAGTGCAAGACATATGTTTAAGATCTTTCAAGATTCAATGGCTATCACACGATATAACCAACACCCATATATTTTCCTCACCATGACTGCAAATCTCAATTGGCCTGAAATTACTTCAGCTTTGTTGCCATATCAAAACTCTCTTGATCGTCCTGATTTGATTGCACGTATTTTTGAGTTAAAGAGACGTGCTTTGATGAAGGAGATAGAAACAAAGCAAGTATTTGAGAAAAAAATAGCACATGTATTCACAATTGAATTTCAAAAATGAGTGTTATTACATATGCATGTTCTTCTGTTTCTTCATGGTGCAGACAAAATTCAGACATGTGCCCAAGTTGACAAAGCGATTTGTGTTGAATTCCCAAGTTATGACAGTGATCCATCCCTTTTTGAAACGATTAAGAGTTGTATGGTGCATGGACCATGTGGTGCTCGAAATCTCCAAGCTTCATGTATGGAAAATGGTATATGCATGAAGAGATATCCTCGAGCCTTTGTGGATTCAACAAGTATGGACGAAGATGGATATCCTGTCTATTATCATCGCAATAACGGTCAAATGTATATTGTGAGGGGACAAGAGGTTGATAATAGGGATGTTGTACCATACAATCTCCATCTATCAAGAATGTTCAATTGTCACATTAATGTAGAAGTGTGTGCAGGTATGAGATGCGTGAAATATATTCATAAGTATATCTATAAAGGTTATGATCGCACAATCATGGTGTTGGGAGGAATAAATGAGATTCAACAATATCTTGATGCAAGGTATATTGGACCACCAAAAGCTGGTTGACGATTATTTAGTAATCCGATGCATGAAGAGATTCCAACAGTTGTACGATTGACACTCCATTTGCCTAGTATGCATCGTGTTATCTTTAATCCTACACAACCATTTGATACAATCCTTTGTAAAGCAGGACAAGAAGATACAACTCTGACTGGTTTTTTTAAGTGTTGTGGTTCCAATGAATCTGCACGTGCATTAACCTATCAAGAATTTTCCCAGAAATTTGTTTGAAATAAGGCAACGAAGATGTGGACTCTAAGACAAAGGGGATATACAAGTGGTAGAATGTACTTTGTTAGCCCTAATTCAGGTGAATGATTTTATCTCCGTCTTTTACTCACTATTGTTAAAGGACCAATATCATTTGATTCCTTACGCACGGTCAACAATATTGATTACGAGACGTTCAAATTAGCATGTGTTGCGAGAAGACTTTTAGAAGATGATGAAGAATGAATACAATGCCTTCAAGAGGCTTCAATTATAAGTCTCAAGGACAATCTGTGAAATTTGTTGGAGTTGATTTGCGAACACTAGTCTTTAGTCATGGACATCTATATGTTGCACTATCTAGATGCACATCTTTTGATCATTTACACGTCCTTCTCCCTGAAGATGGGTCGAACTGAACGACAAATATTGTGTACCCTGAAGTTTTGTTATAATAGTCCGTATTCTACAAGGACGAAATGATATAAATTACTTGCAAGTTTATTTTTGTTGATTGCAAATATTTTAAAATGTTATTTTATTGATCAAACATTTTATTTCATCTATAGAATTGAGACGAAAAAGTACATGAGTTAAAAAGAATAAATGCAACCCTTTTTTTCGATGGGGATGTTTGAATACGGTAACTACATTTATTTGTTATAGTTTATTTTTTATTTTCAAATTTATAATTTTAAAATCCCTGTCCGGTACTAAATTTAACTGGTTTTGTAAATGCTAGATTGTTGTACATTCCCCCAATTGGAATATACGGATTTAGATTGATACAATGACATTCAAGGCTGTGATGGAGAGAGAGTACTTACAATGATGTGCAGATAATCCGCATTTTGATGAATTAGATTCAAGAATGACCCATTTCACTAAACTCATGACACATGATATATGACAAGTTAGGTTGTGTCTGAGAATAATGCTTGGTTATTTCGCGTTCAAATTCAATGTTCGATTTTTTTTAGTTGTATCGTGCCTTCAGGCACGGGTTATCCCTCTGTTTTGGATTTACAATTGTTTTATTTTTTCTAACATATTTCGATAATTGATTATATTTTAAATATTTTCAAGTATACATGGAAGGATATGAAGATGAAGTTGAAGGTATTTTTCTATTTGTGCATGTGTTTATTTTTTATGTTATGTTTTTTGTAAAATTAACTAATTATACATGATTATGATGATTTTGTTTTGGTGGTTTGGATAAACATGGTTATGATGATTATGGTGATATGTATAATTGTAAGTTTTATAGACAGATTTAAATTTTTTTGGGCTTCTATTTTTAGATGAAACTCTATCCAAATTTCTTATAATTAGTAGGGATTAACTTGATGTTTTGGTGGTTGGATATGTGTTGATGATTGAGTATGTATTGATTATTGTGGTGGTGTTGTGAATTATTGTAAGTTTTATAAACAAGTTTAGATTTTTTTGAACTTCTATTTTTAGGGGAAACTCTGCCCAATTTTTTTGAAATTAGTAGAGATTAGCTTGATGTTTTGGTGGTTGGATATGTGTTGATGATTGAGTATGTATTGATTATTGTAGTGGTATGGTGAATTATTGTAAATTTTATAGACATGTTTAGATTTTTTTGGATTTCTATTTTTAGAGGAAATTCTGCCCAAATTTCTTAAAATTAGTAGGAATTAGCTTTATGTTTTGGTGGTTGGATATGTGTTGATGATTAGATATGTATTGATTATTGTGGTGGTATAGTGAATTATGATGATTGTAAGTTCTGTAGACAGTATTACATTTTTATTAGTTCTTATTTTTAGAGAAAATTTTTAAATATTTATATGGACTACCTTGATTTCAAATTGACAGATTGTTTTAGGTTGTAAAGAGTTTTTACGTATTGTAAGATTTTTCGAGTTTTAGGTTGCATAACACTACCTTGATTTCATTACGCTGTGCCTTCCAATTACTAGTATATATATATAACACCTATATATAGATAGATAAGAGAGAAAAAATTTTAATGTTAGTCAAACTCTTAACCTATATATGGATATAGATAGATTTGAGTGAGAAAAGATTTTAATGTTAGTCAAACTTCTAAGATTTATGAGTTTTTAATTTTTAGTTTTATTTCACTTCTAAAGAGAAGGGATAGTATGGTTAAATTGATAAAAAATGGACTTCATAACAAATAAGTTTTCTTGACGGACTTAAATCTAAACAAATCCATATGGAGAGATCGGCCTCCAAATTTTTTTAAAAATTAATGACACGAAACTAATTAATTAAGGGTGCATTGCATTTGCATGGGAGATATCTGTACGTGCAGGTAGCCAGAACCCAGAAGACAAATTAACAGGAGGATGGGTGGCATCCGTATGTATCAACATCATGATCATCATTGAGTTTATCCAATCGCATCTAGACGACTATCAGATCAGTAGGCAACCCTGACTGACCCATGGCCATGTGGCCCAGCGGGCCAATGTTTGAGTGATTTACCATTTGTCGAGTCTTACTTAGATCTCATCTAATAAATGTTAAAAGAAAGTTATATATGGTTAAAATAATAAAAATAAAAGATATTAGACATTTTTCGGGTGCGCATCAAACTCTACTTTCTCGTTGTTAATAAAATAGAAATACATTAGAGTGAGTAAACTCATCCACGCTCTTTATGGGGTATGCCTTTTTAATTTATCGGGTCACAGTAGTGATCCAAAGATGATTCCCAAGAAGTTGGCCCAAAATAATGAAAGAAACCATCCCTGCCCATGATATTGGGCGGTTGTTCCATGAATGTAGGCCCTATGAAATTAGTTAGAGATGGAACGGGTTTCGTTCATCCTCCTATATTTAAATTTGATTCTAAAGTTATAATCCAATTTCATTTGAATATCTAATAGTGTTTGTTTTTAGAGCATATATTCGATTCGACACAAGGTAAAAATATGAAATTTGACCCACAAATCAAGTTGGATCCGAAATTTCCAATTAAGTTGAACTTTTTTTAAAACTAGATCTCAAAAATCGACTGACCCAATAAAATAAAACTCCACTAGTTCATAAAAAATGAAAGAAAGTAAAACTCCAAGGCAACCTTCAATTAGTTGACACAACCTAATCGTTGAAACGAAAGAAACCCAGTTCATCATTGATAAGCAAGTGTATTGCTCAAGTAGAAAACACACACACAAATAAAAAAGGGAGAGCTGGGCGATTTTTAACAAGTTTGTCTAGGAGCCACTGTGTTTTTACTCTAATTGATTAATTCGTGCGTGCGGCTTGTGGTAGGTTGTCTTTGTTCTATAACATGTATCATTGATAAAAAAAAAAAAAACATGTATCATTCCGAACGTGATTTTTCATTATTCCATCAATGTTCTCTATCTTGTTCAATACAATATTCAACTTTTCGGAAAAAAATAATAATAATTTTAGCCACTGCTTGTGGCCACGTATGGTGTCCTGCTAACCCATACGTTTAAACTAGCGCTTAATTCACCATGGTAGCAGGCAGGCAGGCTGAAGTTGTTCTAAACTTGATGGTATGTCACCTTAGTCCAATCATGAGAGTGTTTCTTGGAGAATTTGGTAAAGCTACTATGACTCCGTAAATTATTTGATTGAACACGATACTACAACTTAAATTTTGCTGCAGTCAAATGCCATCTTTGGAGATGGCATGGCACTGGAGCTTAGGTTCAAACCTCGACGTCTTATTACAAAACACCCAAAAACATTGGCCTTTTAATTAAACTCACAAAAACGGACGAGCATAGAGAAATAATAGAAGGATGTGTGAACGAAGCAGTTTAAGCTTCCTACTTTTTTTGACTAACAAATGCGAAAATAGGAAAACAAGGGAAGAAATGGCAAGGAAGTCAACAAAATGACAAGTTTTACTTATACAGGAATTAAACAAAATGACAAGTTTAAATAGGCCACACCGCATAGCCATCAGCCTTGACCATTAACAAACACAATTCGTAATGATTTGAAAATACAACAATAATCTGGGATCCATCCTTACACCACCATCCACCATCCACCTACCAATTACTATGTACATCACACCAAGGCCCACCCCTAACAAAACTGTTGGCTGCTTTTTCTATTATTATTCAACTGAAGCAGCCAAAAACAGCATAAACCCCCTCAATTCCAAATCAGAGGACGTCTGTTCTCTGGAAAATCAGTTATACGTTCAGGGGCTACCACTACTGTTCAACAAACTCCTCAAACTACAGAAGGCCTCGGCTGATAGACTGCAGCACTTCAATCTTCGTTGGCGAGGTGGAGATGGCTCCCGGTGATCAAGGGAACTTAAACAAACAACAATAACAGTGAGGTTATCAAATGTGTTGAGCCGCAAAGCCTCCATGACAAGGTCTCTGGCACACTGCTCTGGATCTCCATGCCGCCGCAGTCCACGGTGCACAAGGCCAACTGCTTGCTGACTCGACATGACATCCCAGATCCCATCACACCCCATTACGAGGAACTCGTCATCCTCAGTGAGCACAATCTGCTGGAGTTCTGGCTCTGCAATGAGAGGCGATGCAGAGCCCCTAGGCAACTTCATGTCCCAGTCCCCCAAGGCCCGCGATACAGACAGAACACCATTGAGATAACCATCCTCAACAAACCCACCCAATTCCTCAACACGTCTTTTTTCTGCTGCATAATTTGGTCTATGATCTTGAGACAGATCAATTGCCTCTCCTTTCCGGCAAAGAACTGCTCGACAATCTCCAGCATTAGCCACCATTAGAAGCCTGGAAGGCAAAAAAAAGGGGGATCGTTAAACAGGTGAAAGACCAAAGAGACTTAAACAATCCTGCAAAACAAGTACTGTTAAGAGAAAGTTATCAATTTCCCGGGCATGCTTAAACACCTCAGGAATAAAACCTAATGGAACACATTAACTAATGCTGTGACATAATTCTTTGGCCAACAACTTAAAAAATCTGGCTAAAATATTTATGCAGTCACTTTGTGCATGTAATGTATTGTCCAATAGTTATGTCCGTACCCAGCACACTCCTCCCAACACGCTCGGTTAGTACATCTTAGTCCACCTATCCATTAAAGCATACCCTTTGATTTCAGTATTCCAGGAACGGTTTCATAGGTTATTGGTTAAATTCTGCAGAGGGTAAACAGTTCCACTTCCAACAAACAATAAAATCAAATCAACCTAAACAGCTCCTCAAACGGTACAGAAAAGGCAATACTGCTGGAAGGATCAAGCTTATAAAAGATATCAACAATGCACAACTAAATTTGGCACATATAGGAGCATGAGCGTGGGAAAGAAGGATTCTGAAATATCAACTTACCTTCCTAGTATTAGAGCCGCCAATGCAGTTGTTCCAGAAGAACTGCTCACGTTGTATTCATCAGCCAAAGCAAGGTCAGCCAGAAGAAATGCCCTTCGTAGTGAGTCCTCAACCTCTTCCAGAAATGCATCATTAACTTCGGACATCTGTGGGAAATTGGCATCTTCAAAAAAGAATTTGATCACATGTTTTCTAATATAAGCCGCCGCCTCAGGTCCTCCATGACCATCAAATACCTGTATTGCGCACAGCCCCAAATAATTTACATTATAGCATAATCATTAAGAAAAAGACTCTACATATTACAGAACGGGAAAAGTTATTTACCCCAAAGAAGGCACTCGGGTTAGGAAATCTGAAGAGCGACCCCAAGTGCATGGACAAATCATCTATCGTGACATGCTCATCTTCCATGTACCTTCGTGGCCCAATGTCTGCAAAACTACCAGAACGGATGCTAGGAACAAATTGCAGAACAGAAGATTCTGGAGATTTTATGCCCTGCCAAAGAAGGGTATTTTGATGTCAACTTCTCGTTTTAATATGATAACTTCCAAGTTTGAATGTACTATGGCTCAGATTATTGTATTTGTGTGGTTGTATATTCTGTTGGACTACTTAATCATGCAGAATGCCAAATGTGTACATTTAATATTTCATGTAACACCTATTATACAGCTCCTTCATAATTTTCAATTGAATACGAAGATTGTTTTGTTAGGACACCTAAATACAGAGCACGTCAAGAGGTTTAGAGCGCCAAACCCATGAATTGTTAATATTACAGGTTGATTCAGTTAGCAAATAATTACAAACAACCAACATGGGCAAACTGCTTAATCTAACAGTACAGCATTGAAGGGTAACAATCTTTACCATAAAGCAAGAATATTTCACTGGGATTTGTAGTAAATTGTTTATGAAGGGAGGACAAGGTAGTATGGCACCCTGAAGCACTTTATCCACCAAGTTTCATACCATGACACTAGAGAATACCATAAGGGACACCTTCTTCATTCCCATAATTTTCCAAGGTAATCAGATTCAAGATTTTTTTTCCCTTGACAATGTCAGAATGTTATGGATTTACATATTAATATTCGAAACAAAGAGCAAATTAAGTTGAAAAGTTGGATCTAAAGAAGAAACTTCATGATTACATCAGGTAAATGATTTGTCATTCATCTAACTGCCCACATGTTTACTCAGCAAGTTAAGACTAAAGTGCAAAAACTAGAAGTTTCTTCCAAGAAAACAGTAAAGTTATATGCACAGGTTAACAATATGTTTTCTCTAAGCAAAAAGCAAATCTCAAACAAAAGAGAAAAGAAAAAAAAAACCTAAGGTATAGTAGAAAACTTGGAGGTGCATTCAAAATGATCCAAGTGTACAATCTTCTAAGAGGATGAAATTCCATTCATCACAATGTTAGAACGAGGTTAAAGTATCACACAACAATCATCTAAACAAGCACGATTATTCGACAGGCATCTGTTTGTTTTACTGGACACAGGTGGTTTGATTTCCTGGTTTGCAGTAGGTTGTATAGAGATTCTAGTTGAGACGACTATTTTCTACATCCGATCTAGTTGATCAAACAAACTGAAAATCATCAAAATTGAAGTCTGAGTGCAGTAAAATATTTGCAACAAGATTCGTGAATGAAAGCATCCTATGTCAGGATCCATTAACAAAAGTCAAAACAAATCAAAGGAATCAGCGTTATTACCATTTAGATGCCCCGTATTTATGAAAGCAATCGAGAACCAAGAAATTGAAAAGCAAAGCCTAATAGATTGGAAATAACAAAAAGAGGAAACCCAAAACTGTACCACTTGAACTGGAACTACCACCTCTGCTTCAGCTCCCATCTTCAGATCATAACACAAAGCACAACTACTGTAAACAACGCCTTAAAAGTATCACCACAAGTACAACCAACACCAAAGCTTTTCCTCTAAAAATAAATTTTAGGTTTTGCGGGAAGAATCAGGTAGAGAGAGAGGGAGAGAGATCAGATCTCTTTGGGTTGGGTGGGGTGGGGTGGGGTGGGTGCTTAGGGGTTTGCTGTTCTGGTTCTGGCACTTTCTTTCTTCCGATCAACGAAAACTTGTGCCAAGTGGGGTTGAACCGCTAGTTATCGTTGTGGATGCCAAAGACCGGAAACCGGCGGCCACCTGTTACAAACCGTTGTAGAAATGGACAAGTGTGAGTTTCCACAACAAGAAGGTTTGAAGCAACTTGATTTTTGTGTTCATTCGCGTGGCTTGCTGGACACGTGACAGTTTGTAGGTCACCGCGTGAATTTTGACGACACGCCAAATGTCTGTTTTGGCTATAAAGTGACGTAAACGACCCTCTCCTTCTTCTCGTGCGTTGACTTTGCAAAGGATTGCGTTACTACTACGAGTCGGTTGGGATATATTTAATGAATTTAGTTTAAAATTAAGGTTACTAGTGCAATGCTTAATCAATCCACCAAGAAAACCAAATTCTTATAACCTTGTGATGAGCATTTAAAACCACAGTCTTTCTAGTTGTTGGTTTTCCCTTCATTGCTTGGATCACTATTTTATTTTCCCTTCCTTTATATTCACTTTTGTTTTTTGCCTTAAATCTCTTTGTTATATTTATAAATTATTGGTGGGGCCATAGGCATTGTCATTGGCATGGTTCCGAGTAGTTTATATTTGGCATTGGTGAACAAACACAACAAGTTTTAAGTGTAACCTATAATATTGTCTGTTGTTTTTCCTCTTTTTTAAAATATACTAAACACACTGATGTCTGTCTGTCTGTATAAACAAACAAATACTAAATCGACACTAATTCTTTTTCCAACGGTCACTGATTTGGACGAAGAAGGGAACAAAAAAAATAAAAAAAAAGTTATGGGGTGATTGCAAAAGATGTTGTTGACGCGTGCTACCCTATCTTATATCTATTGCTCCTTTTCCTTCCGATCTGAATCCATCATTCACGACAAAGACAAAATTCCAGCGTTGGACTTGGTTGCAGCACTTTATTGTAGGATAGGCAGTAAGCGTAGGCGTAGGCGTAGCCACTCTTGCACTGTTGTTGCTGATCACGTGTAACAGTAATAGTACTAGTAATACTCTCTCTTATTCACGGTTTGGGCTCTGGCCCAAGGATGTGGAATAAATCAGTAAGGCCTTGGGCTCCAGTTTTCCTTGCTACTGTTTGTTTAGGTTTAGCCGTTGAAGCGGTCGCTCAGTTAGGCCCAAAGACTGCTTCGGTTTTGGGGAAGGAGAAGGACCGGAAAGGAAACCAAGTTTCATTCCAAGTTTCCTTGATCAATTGTCTACATTTTGGAAGTCCTTTTTGATCTATCCTCAAAACTGTAGGGTTTCTCCTTGGTTTTCATTAATATAGGTCTATGATCAGTCATTTTAAGTAGTTATAAGAATGATTTCAAGTAAGATAAATTTGCTCCTTCGAGTTTTTGAATAAAGATGAGACCAATATTATTATGGTTAGCAAACTCCTTTTCAATTCTATCGAATGATTTCATTTCTCTTTTTTCCCCTTCTATCAATTCCTTGTTAGTCAGTCGACTCCCATATGCACCTCACAAATGGAGTCTTTCATATCTGGAGATATATTTTGTGTTCAAACTTCAAAGACCTTAAAATGTTGTGTGGTAACCTTTTTTTTTCCTCTTTTTTTAAGTTAAAAAATAAATCTATATTACTTTAAAATATCAGCATACATAAAAAACATTTTTTTCCCTTTTGCCCTTTAAAACTATAATTATGTCATCCTTATACTTCAAAATTAGGGTCATACTAATTTTATTTTTCTCTTTTATCCTCAAACAATTATATCATATTTTCTAATATAACTCTTAGATCATTCCTATTCTAAGAGTAAACGAATAAATCTATCTATCTATCTATATATATATATATATATATATATATATATATATATATATAGAATTTTAAATGTCAATTATCTTTCAAAATTTTGATTTTTTTTATCTTTAAATAATATAATTAGATCATTTTTATCCATACTTTATATTTATACTATTTTAAAATACCAGAATATCAAAAAAAATATATATATATTTTTTTCACTTCTAACCTGAAAAAAATAAATATATCATTTTTATCCTTCAAAATTAATGTTATACTAAACCTAATTAATATTTTTCAGCCGTTAGAAGTTAGACCACCCCATCCTCTCTTGCGTATTCACCACTCGGTGAACAAGCAGCCACACTCCCTCTCTTCACCTTCCACCTCTCTTTCTCTCTCTCTCTCTCTTCTGCGTATTCACCATTCAATGAAGAACAAAAAACCATGCTACGCCTGTTCTCCTTCCCCAATTACAGTTTGTTTCGTTCACATGATTTGACTGAGTCGGAAGCCAGCGGCTACTGTAACTTCAACAGGTACCTTAGCCATTGGCCGCTTCATTCCCTTCAGTCTCGATCAGATCTTTGGTGATTTATTTTGGTGTTATTCATTTGTGCTTGCATTCATTCATCTGCGAAGGAACCACTGTTTTTTAGGATCTCAGTAAAAGGGTAAAAGTTGATTTAGTCTTGGGGATATCTTCTCCGGCAATGTCAACTGCTATTTCTGGTGTAATCGGCGGCTGTCTCTCTCTCTCTCTCTCCATTGACTCATTGAAGTCCACCCTAAACTACCCCACAGCCACCAACAACAGCTCCACCCTACATCAAACGCAATGCACAACAACTGTTTGTTAAAATACCTACAGAAGTGTTATTCATTCCAAATAAGCCAAATCGAAAGTAACCAATAAGTGGCTAATTTCTTTGGTTATTCTAATACAAGTACTTGAATTCATTTGTAGTAGCAAAACTATTCGAAAAATGCCTGATCTCTTTGGTTAGTAATTCCTGTTCACATAGTGGCTAATAGTTTAAGTCTTCCTGGACTCCAAATGATTACAAAAAAGTTGGAGCTGGCAGTTAAGATTGTGTTTCCCAGGAACTTGTTGGGTGGTGTGGTTCCAGGAAATAAAGGTGTTGAGTTCATGATGATTGGTCTTGGTGATATGGTAAAACATTTTTTAGTCTCCAGTTACTTGAAGCATCTAAACCCTATAAAAATTTGGAAACTAGAATTCTTGTTATTGAAACTATGGTGCATTGACATATTTCATGATTAATTATGCATTGAGCTCTCTGTACATAGCATGCAGGAGTATCATATATCAATTCATGCCACTATTTTAAACAGTTGGCAAAAGGGCTTCCGAGGGCTCTATAGATGCCCTTTCCTTGCTAATTTTTTTATCAAAAAATAAACTGTGATTTCATTCAAGTAGGAAAGTGTTGATTACAGTCATTAGAAAGTAAAGCCTTAAGCTTATTAGGGGGCAGCTGGCCCAATTCACAGCAAGCGAATCAGATAACGCCGTTGTTGCCATCTAATGAGCTACCATATTGAGGGCTCTTGACTTGTGTAAAAAACTAAGTTCAAGATGTTTAGCAAAAAATCTAATGTCCTCCACTAGAGCACTAATTTCCCAAGGGGGAACACCTTCAATTGTGCAAAGCTTGATAACTTCCTGGCAGTCACTTTCAATTATGAGCTGAGAGCAGTAATTGAGCTTAAAATTTTGTTTTGAATTTCTTGAAGGATTAAAGCCAACTATTGGTGGCAGTTTCTTTCTGTATCAGTACAGAAGCTGAACTAAATGGTGGAGGAGCTGATTTGGAGCTGCAGATTCAGACAGTGTATTGCTGAGTTGAATTGCTGTCTGATGGAAGTTGAGAGTTGTTGTTCAGTTGCTGTTCTGGTCAGTAGCTGAGTAGTTAGTAGAGGTGTTGAAGTTTGCTGATCTGATGAATGCTGATATTGATGTGTCTGCTGAAAGGAGATCCTGTTGTGCTGCAGCTGGTTTCTGCAGCTGGTTCAACAGTTTTAGCAGAGGCATAGATGGCAGTTCAGAGATTACAAAAACTGAATTCTGATAACAGAATTGTATACAGTTTTCTGTTTTCATTTGTTGTAATTTCAGTTGTTGTTTTGTCTTTAAAATAGTTTCTGATTTGCTTTTTGTAATTTTTGAGTTTAATCAATAAAATTTTCTCTTTTCTAAAAAAAAAAAAAAATCTAGTATTCTTTAACTGTGAAGCATTCACCAGCAGACAGGCTTCTCTCACTGCTGTTGCTTCTGCTTGGAGACTTGAAGCAGCCAGAACATTTTTCCCAATCCCATCCAAAAAATTGTCATTAGTGTCTCTTAAAACAATTCCAATAGCAGCCCTTCCCTTTTTATAAGCCCCATCACAACTGACTTTGAAACCTTGGCTCATGTGGTTAGAAGGGATCTCAGGCTCAATTGGGACAGTTGAGTTACTCTCTCCTCCTCTTTTTCCAACTAAAAGAACCTCACTCCATAGATGTCTTGCTTTTAACACTGTAGCTAACACATTCGGCTCTTCTTGATTAAAGACCATTTGGTTTCTCCTTTTCCAAATTGTCCAAGCTATCGTCGCAATTTTACCCATGATCTCTAGTGAACTGTTTGTATCACTGATAGCTTCCAGAACTAATGAGACCCATTGCATAGTTGTACCAATTAGTTCCTCCTCAAATCTAAAACCAAGTTCTGAGCCAAACCACACATTCTTTGTCCATTCGCAACCAAACAGTAGGTGTTCAATGGATTCAACCTTGACCTTGCAAATTTGACACCATGGTGAATCTCCACATTTTCGTTTGAACAAATTTTCTCAAAAAGCCAGAGCATTGTTGCAGACTTTCCACCAGAAATACCTTATTGTTGGGAGGGCCTTCATATGCCATATAACATGCCATAGCTTCGAATGAGGTGAGAAGAAGGAGGCAGCTTCCATATTACTAGGATAATTGAGACTTGCCGTCAGTAAGTACCGTGATTTAACTGTATAAACTTCATTAGGACTTGGTTGCCATATCCTTCTGTTAACCCTAGTTGTCTTTGGGATTGGAATGGTCGCAATGGCTTTACATTCTTCTTCGTTAAAAAGTTCCTTCAGGAGCTCTGTGTTCTACATCTTGAATGGCCTTATACTGAGTTGGCTTACAAGCTCAAAGTTACATGAATG